ACACCAACTCGACTTGATTTGAACTCGACTCGGCTTATCTGACTCGTGAGTTAACTCGACTCGTCCGGAACTCTAATCAAAATCTGATTCTAATAATTTATTAAATTCAGACTTTAATTTTCTTAAATCAACTTCATATTTTATTTATTTACTTTAATAATAGTCCAATTATCTTTATTTGGGAAAAAGATATTAATATGTCGATTATTAGCTACTAATAAAATCAATACTGGTTTAAGTGCCTCCAAATATCTTAATATATAGTAAGTAGAATTCCAGTATATCTCTACATTAACAACAGATTTAAGATATTTGATTTTCTTTAAATCACATAAGAGGTGAAGATTATCACATAGGTGAGTTAAATTTTTAATATAATTTATTAATTTATGTACCTTTATTATAGGATCACTAATAAGTTTTAATCCTTTCTTTACATCCAAATTTAAGATATATGTGATGCATTTATAATGTGAAAAAATCATAGCTGAAAATTCATCATCTAAAGTTGAAGTAATATCTCTTTCACAAACTAACATAACAGTCTTATTATCTATTGTAAGTGTAATAATTTTATTAGAAATATTGAATTCTTCTAAGATTCTCTTTATTTCTTATGCAATATTTATATCAGAATAACTAATTGTAAAAGAAATAATACTAAGAAGAAATTCTGAAGTTTCCAATTAGAATCTATATAATGAATTATAAGTTCTAGAAATGCTTCTTAGTTAATTATAAATGTTTATATATTTGCTATCAATGTGAACTTTTCTGTAATTTTTTGAAACTCATTGATAATTTTATCTCTTTTAATTGTAAATATATTAATAATTAAATCTGTTAAATAGAAAGATAATTAGTTTTTATTTAAAAAATTTTTTATGATAAATTTATCTTTTACTTTATATCAGTCTGAAATAATATATTGTAAACTAAAATAATAGTTTTCAATAATGATAAAAGGTTGAAGATCACAAATCAATTAATCGACAAGGTATTTATTATAAATTTTTTATTTATCATATTAAAAGAATCAGCTTTTTAGTTAAATGTTGATTTTTTGTAGATACTCTTAATTGGTATTTTTTAAGATGCTTTCTCAAAGTACTAATACTCAATGTAATTTTATATCTATTGTTACATATTTACAAATATTGAATTCTGAAGTAGATGATGAGTTCTTATCAAAGTATAGCTATACAGCTAAGGTTGCTAAATGAAATCTAGAGGTTTTGTAAATTGTTTAAATTAAAAAAGGTAAAATTTAGCGAAATTATATTAAAATCTTATTAAAAAATCTGCAAAATTCTGAAAAAGTTAAAATTATATCAAAGCTTATAAAAATGTGAAACTATATCAAAACTTTAATAAAAAATTAGCAAAACTATAGTTTAGACATTTTGTCAAATTTAAAATGAGTTTAGATAAGCAACCTTATATACAGCATTTCCTAGCATATCTGATATATCTAAAGAACCAGGTTCTGAAATTGTATATATATGAGAAACTTGACTAACTGACTTATCAAAATTTATAGCATCTTCTCACTCTTCATATTCTTCAGATTCATTTTCTTATTCAGGGTAAAACTCTTCATCACTTAATATTCTTTTAAAGTCTCCTATTTTTGAGAATAAATTTTTAAGTGATCTTTTGATTGTTAAATTTTATTTATGATATCAGAAATTACACAATGAATATTTATATTTTTAAAAGACAATTATGCTAATAACCTTTATCTATTTATTATTTATATTAAAATATTGCAAAAGGAATAATGATAATTATAAAAAATTTTTATAGCGTGTTTTAATTTTCATATACAAAATAAATTGCACAAATTTTAAATTGATTTTATTATTTTATTAAAATAATATCTAATATTGTAGTTAATCAAAATTGTAGTTTTATTAGAGTTCCAAATAGGTTAAGTTAGTTCAGATTAATTAGTTAATCTAAACTGATTTTTTTTTTGAGTTAAATCAGATTAAGTTAAAGAAAGTAAACTGATTTAACCTGAACTGACCTGTTTAACCTGAAAATTTTCAGGTTAATATATTCAGATCTAATCAAATATATTCAGATTAAAATAGGTTAGAAATAATCAGGTTAATTCAGATGCCTAAGATAATAGTTTGTCATTTTTTTAAAAAAATTATATTAGAAAACTTTCTTGAACCTTTTTTTTCCTACATAATCATTTTTAGTATATTAATTTTATATTGACATTATCTTTTAATTTAAAGTTACATTAAAGTTATGAGCCAATCAAAAAATTCATTTTATATCAATTTATTTTCTTACAAAAAAAAAGGTATTTAAAAAAGATGTTTGATTATGAAATCTATGTTAACATTTTTCACATTTTTATTCATTTTAATTTATTTTTTGTTAAGTAAAAAGCAAGAAATATAATGAATTCCTCATTTTATCTTTATTCCTATCTTAATAAAACCTCTAACATTAAAATCAATCATTTTTTATCATTTTTTTATTAGAAAAATCATTTTTGTATACCAATAAACAATCATGATTTTTCTTATATTTTCAAAATTATTAGCAGCACTTTTATCAGAATTAGAATCACCAAGAGTTTGTGACATTAGATTATTTGTGTTTGATAATGGTGAACAATGTTTTATAAAAAAATCTTTGTATAGAACTTTAACAATTTCTTTCTCTTTTTTTAACGAACTTAGACAAATAAATAATCAGGATTTTGAACAAAATAAATAAGGTAAGTTTCATTTATTTATATTTTTTTATTTTGCTTTTAGGGTATATAATTAATATTCCTTTTCTCTTTTTTTAGCAAACTTAAATGAACAAATAACCAGGACTTTAAATGAAATAAATAGGTAAGTTATTCATTTTTTTTGCTTTTAGGGTATATAATTAATGTTTTCTTTCTCTTTTTTTAGCGAATCTAGATAAACAAATGATCAGGACTTTGAACTTTTGAACGAAATGAACAAGATAAATTCTATTCATTTGATTTATTTTATTTTTTTACTTTTAGAAAATGTAATTAACGTTTTCTTTTTCTTTTTTTTTAGTAAATTTAGATGAACAAATAATCAGAACTTTGAATAAAACGAACAAGATAAGTTTCATTCATTTTATATTTTTTTGCTTTTAGAAGCGTTAATAAAGAAATTCTTTCTCTTTTTTTAAAAATCTGGTTCAATCTGATTTATTAAAAGCATTATTATATATAAAAAATAACATTTATGTTAGATATAATATATTTAATATGTTTGTAATTGAGTAAATATATATATAGCAGATTTATTTGATAAAAATTCTTGATGATGAAGCTATTCGTGATGATATTTGTAACAGTGATTAGCAATTAATTTAATTGTATAATATTGTTATTTATTAATTATTATTATTAATCAAGATATTTAAAAAAAAAAAAAAAAAAAAAACGAAAATATGAAATATTTTAAGAAAATAAAAAGCAAAAAAAATATTATATTTGATGAATCTAATTTTTAATACATATGCGTGTTCAAATAGATTTATGATTCAAGTTAGATCTTTTTTTTGTAATTAAGTCAGAACCTTTAGAAAAGACTCTTTCTATAGGAACACTTATTTATGTAATGAAAATCCATTATGCATTAGTTAATATTTATTAATATCTAAAAAAAACTTTTAGTTATAATACCCAGAATTGCTAAATAGTCATGTGTCATATTCGAAAAATATAGATATTATTTTTTGTTATGCTATAATTATATTAAATAAATTTATTATATATAATTAATTATTTATTTTTATATCACTAAGTTAAATGCAATTTACCTTCTACTAAATTAAAGAATCCATTTTAACTCTTTCAACTGGCTTATTATAATAGTCTTTTACTTCAAATTTATGATTGTAATTATTATCTTTGTTATCGTCATTAATGGATCCAAATATCTCATATAAAAAATCATTTTCATTATTATTTTAATCATCACAATTATCATTATCAAATGGGTTGATTTTATTAGTATAATCACTTTTATAAATATTTATAAAAATTGATTTTATTTCATCAATAAATTTTTGTTTTCATTGTTGCTTTTTTGTAATAATTTAACTTCAACCTAGGATCGAGAACTAAATAATAAATCTTTTTTAAAAAAATATTTTCTTACTTATTGTAATAGCATATAGGTGAGAATCATCAGTCTTAGAATAATATAGTTTTAGTTTTTGTATCCTATTACTATTGCATTACATATTTTTAAATATTGATAATAGTTTTCATGATCTTTATCTAATAAATTTTTAATATGTTTAAGAATCATATTATATATAGGTATAAATGATGATAAAGTTATATAATTTGACATTGACATATATTTGATAGTTTTATAAAATTTTTAAAAATATCATTAGTTTATTAATAAGAAATTTTAAATATTAAAAGAAAAAATAAAATTGAATTTACTTCAAAAATACAATATAATTTCTTTATAATATTTCACTCATTAAAAGAAATTAAAACTTATTTAAATCTTCTTTAAGTAATGCAATATCATTAAAAGGCTAACAAATAAAATAAATATGTTAGTATTTTTTCATATATATTCATTAAATACTTAAATTTACTTACATTTTAAAGTTTTAATGCACGTTTTAACATAAAATATATTAAATTTCATCTTGTTTTAATGTCTAAAATAAGATTTAATAATTTGATTTTATATAATTCACAATGACCTGCAAACTTATCTCTCTGTTGAGATGATGCTCAAATTTTAATTATTAATTTTTGTAATTTTGGAATTATTTCTTTACAATTCTGAGGATTTTTATTCATTAAAATATCATTTTCATTCTGAAATTTATCAGCTTTTACATATTTTAAATATTTCTTATATAGTTAAATTTATAATATAAGTTAAACATCTAATATTATTTTTTTTATATTTAAAAGTGATTTCACTTTTTTTATAATGATATTCAAAATTTTTTAAAAAGTTTTATTATTTAAAGCATTATTTACTGTAATAGCTAATATCTAATTAAATTTATTAAAATAAATATTAAATTTAAATTTATTTTAAAAATAAAATAAAAATAAAAAATATAAAAATATTATCTTATTCAAAATATTAAAATCATTTTCAATATTTTCAATACAACTTAAAAATTCTTTTGCTAAATTCTCACCAGAATGTAATCTCAATATATAAACAAAATCAACAAGTATATTATGAAAATTCTAGTGATTATTGATAAAATGACATATTATTTCTAAGAATGCGATAGTATTTGTTGATATCTAACAATCTAATGTAAAACTTAATTTTTCTGAAATATTCTTTTTAATTAAAATAAATATAATAAGTATTTTTTTTATTAGTTTCATTTTTTTATAATTATTTTTTTTACTTGTTAATTTTTATTTAAATTTTTTTATTTTATTCTTTATTTTTTTTTTATATTACTTCATTTGTTTAGTTTCTTTTTATTTTATTTTTTTATTTTCTTTTCTTTTTTATTTTATTTTATTTTCTTTTTTTCTTTCATTTTTGTTTTTTTTTTTTTATCTTTTTTTATCTTTCATTATATTGGTTTTTTTATTATTATTTTCTTTATTTATATATTTTTTATTTTTTTATTTTTACATTTCATTTTTTTTTTTATTTTCCACTTTAATTTTATTCTTTTTTTTAGTTATTTTTTTCTTTTTAATTTTCTTTTTAAAATTTTTTTATTTTTTATTTTGTTTTTAATTTCGTTTATTTATTTTTATTACTTTTCATTTTTTTTATTTTTAATTTTAATTTTTTTTGTTCCTTTTTTTATTTTTTTTAATTTTATTTTTAGTTTTATTATTGTTTTATTTTTATTTTTATTTTTTTCTTTCTTTTTCTTTTTATTTTTTCTTTTTAATTGTTTTTACTATTTTTTTTCTTTTCGTTTTTTATTTTCGTTTCATATTTTTTTAAAAAATAAAAGTAAAAAAAAATAAATAAAATAAAATAAAAATAAATAAAAATAAAAATAATTAAAATAAAAAATTTTGCTAAATCTTGGCGATATATTTATTTTTTATATCACGTTACGATTTTATTTGTTATTTTTTTCATTTTCAGTGATTAGTAGTTGCATAACCTATCTAAGAAGGTAGTATGACTTTATTTTATAGTAGAAAACTGGTGTAATATATATTTAAGATTAACTGTAATAATTTTATTTAGGCATCTTGTGATTTAGATGAAATTTTTGAAGTTGAATTTAAATCATCTACTCAAAAATTGAGTAATAATTCATGTAATATAAAAAAGCTAAGCTGTGTTCTAAAAGAAGATAAAGTTAAAAAGAAAAATATGAATAAAGCTAATGTATTAATAATATTATATGATAAATATTATTATGCAATTTATAATAACAAGTATTATTATATTAAAGGTGATAGTCATCTTAATTTGACTGTTTTATATTTAAAATTATGAACAGCAAAAATTGTAATTATTAAATTTTATGAATTTATTTATTTTAATCTAATACTGTATATTAACTAATTATGTTAAATTAATTTTAGATTAAAAATGCCACTGATTTTGATAATCTTTTAAATAGATCTTTATTTAATATGATAAATTCTGTTAAATTATCAAAAAATATACAGGTAACATTAATCACTTATTTAACATATTTTAACATATATCCACCATCACAATTACAATCAATTTTTATATATTCACTATTATCATAATTAATTTCTATTTATCCATCATCGTCACAATCAATTTCTATATATCCATTATTATTATAATTAATTTCTACCTATTCACTATCATTATTACAATTAACTTTTACATATCTATTATCATTATATCCAAATAATAATTTTTACTAATTGTAATATTAGTTTCAAAATTAGAAGATTTTTTAAAAGAATTAGATGCAATTTATAGAGAAGGAAAATATACTTAATATTAGAAATTTTTAAAAACAATGATATTAGAGTAAATTTAATTTCAAAAATTTCTGTAAGAAAACAAGTTGCATATAATTTCTTTAGAACATATTTTAATAATTAAAGAAGTGATAAATAAGTATACTTAATATTTAAAATTTAGCAAATTTATTATATTTAAAGTTTGATTTTTTTGCAAATTTTTTTTTTTTATTATTACAGCAAATTTCATTACTTATAGACTACTTAGTAAATTTAACATGTGATATATAACACATATAACATACGAAAATGCAATAAATTTTGTAAACAAATAAAAAAAATCACATAATTTATTGTATTATTTTTTATTTATATAACGAAATTAAAAATTACATCTTATTTTCACTGGTAAATAATTGAAAAATAATTATTTAGATGTTCGCAAAGAAAATAGCAAAACATTTTAAAATTAGCAAAATCTTTATATATAAAATAATACTTCTCTTTTAAAAATATAATTCAGTAGAACTATTACTTTCATTATACTATAAATTACATTTATTTTCAGAAAATGATTTAAAGTACCTTGAATTTTTATTAATGAAAAGATAGATTGATATATATAGGAATTATAAAATGAAATAAAATTGTGGCTTAGACACACTATTGGATATACTATAATATAGTATGCTTTACATCGGCTTAGATTTACATATAAACAAGTATTTAGATCTAATTTTTTAAATACTATATGTAAATCTAATTATAAAAGAATAACAAAATATTTTATTTATTTGAAGCTATCTAAACTAACAAAAAAGATAAATGAGATTAATCAAGCAGATTATATTTTACAAATTTCTCAATATTCTTTAAAATAATTAGTATTTTGTGATGAATTTGCATATAGCAAAAGGTCATTATCAATAAGATATAGATGGAGTTTAACAGAAACTCAGGCAAAAAAAACCTTCTTTTTTTATTAGAGGACAGAGGTTTACAATCAAAGACGCTTTATGTATAG